AAGTGTCTCGTCTTTCTTTAGGAAAATCCATGATGACGAATTCCGAGAGCGATGTACAACTTCTATCGCATGATTACAAGTCACTATTGCATGGTTATTTCACCATCCTAATGAGCTTTCTTTTGTTGCACCGGTGAACCATATTGGAGTGAGCCTATGGCCTTCTTCTAGTACATCTTTTTCTTAGTCGATGTGGGACTGTTGATTTAAAGGGTCACAAAGTGAAATTTCTTTCTTAGTCGATGTGGGACAATTAAAAGTGTTGATTTATATAGAAGGTGATAAAAGGTAAACTGGTTTTGCACAGCCAACGTGGGAACATATTACCAACAAATATGGAACTATATTTCAAACACAATTGTTCAAGAGTGCTTCTAATAGCATTATATAAATGTAAACAAACAGACTCTTAGTATTTTATAAAAAGTTTATTGAAGTATTAAATATTTTAATAGTATAACTAGTGATAAAAATCTATAAAATAGAGAAACTTTGGTGTTAATTATAATTTTTTTAAAATTAATGTTAAAAATCTTGTTGAAGATAATCTTGCTTTAAACAAATAAAAAATTGTTAAAATTAATTTTAAGAAAATTAATCCAAAAAAAAAAAACCATAGATAATAAAGTGGTACAAATACTAAGATCTTATCCAAAGAGATTGGACTTCAAAGTTTAAAGTACTAAGTCATAGAATACATCGATTTCAATTAGAGAAGAAAAAAATATTTTGAACGAGTTTAAGAGATTTTCTAGATTTATCTATACTATATTATAATGCATTTGGCTAAAACTCTTAAAAACTCTTAATCTATACTATATTATAATGCATTTGGCTAAAACTCTTAAAAACTCTTAAACTCTTAAAACTCTTAAACCCGTTCATCCCTATCCGATTTCATCCCATAACTGAATCCGTGTAACTAACTGCAGATAGACACAATCAAATACAGGATAAACATCTTAATTTAAATATATAAAATCTAAAATATAATTAGGATAATCATTGAGTTCTAACAAAATACTTAATTATTATCTTTATAAAATGTTATATTATTAAACCAAAAA